CTCAACCAACTCTGCGTTGATACAAATGTGTGATAATTTACTTAAAAACATGGATAATGGTCAAATAAATTGTATAGTCTTTCTTAATGTTAGAAAAGCCTTCGACTCGATAAATCATGAAATTCTGATTGATAAAATGCGTAATTTTTTTCGGAGTAACAGGAAACCAACTAAGATGGTTCGAATCATACCTGAATAACAGAGTTCAACAATGTCTTATAAACGGACAACTATCGAGCCCAAAAAAGATAATATGCGCGGAGTTCCACAGGGGTCCATCCTTGGTCCTCTATTATTTTTATTATACATAAATGATATGCCTGACTCGTTAAGTCACTTAACTCCTTCACTCTATGCCGATGACATGGTAATTAATGAATCTTCTAATGACTGCGCCGACCTTGTCGACAAGGTAAATATTGATCTCGAAAACATACGCAAATGGATGATACGCAATAAACTTCAAATCCACCCCAGTAAATCGAAACATATGTTCATTGGGTCTCCATATAACCTTAAGAATAAAGTATCTGGTAATCCTATTTTAATTAATAATAAGCTAGTACCCAGGATTAATAAATATTCATGCCTTGGCGTGACTATGGACGAAAGGTTGTCTTGGGATAAACATATTGATTCAATCTGTTCTAAAGTTGGTGCCGGTATTGGTGCAATGAGACGTGTTAAACCTTTTGTACCACTGTCGACAACCAAAATGCTATATAATGCTATTATACAGCTTTATTTCGATTATTGCAGCTCGTTGTGGGATAATTGTGGAAATGGCCTCAAAGATAAGTTGCAAAAATACCAAAATCGTGCTGCAAGAGTAGTTACTGGAGCAACTTATGATATTCGGTCATCTGAGTTACTCAATAATCTAAATTTGAAACCTCTAGAAGAAAGACGAAATTATCTTAAATCTATTTTCGTCTATAAAGTTCTGAATAGCCACACCGCACCCAATCTTAAAAAAGCATTTCATTCTAATAATGAAAGACATAATACTTACAATCTTAGAAATAGGGATACTGATTTAGCACCACCTATGCCGAAAAAAGAATTCGGCAAGAGGTGCTTCAGTTATAATGGTGCCTTGTATTGGAATAATCTTCCCCATGAGGCAAAAATTGCTGAATCTCTAAGCTCTTTCAAGTCGATATTGAAACAAAGAATGAGTTGAAATTTGCTTGTGTGTAATCGTGCAGCTAAATCAATTGTATTTTTTTATTTTTTTTGTTATATTTTGTATTTCCCGTATATAGTTAACTTTTTGTAAATAGGTAATTTCACGCCCCTCATGGAAACCAGCCTTCCAACGGCTGTTGAGGCTAGCGTGGTTTAAATAAAGTTTTGTATGTATGTATGAGGGCAAGGCTCCTGGCGCTGAAGAGAAGGCTTCTGGCGCCGAGGAAAAGGTTTCTGACACTGAGAACAAGGTTCCTGCCGCTGAGGACAGTGTTCCTGGCGCTGAGGAAAAGGGTTCTGGCGCTGAGGAAAAGGGTCCTGGCGCTGAGGAAAAGGCTTCTGACGCTGAGGACAAGGCTCCTGGCGCTGAGGACAAGGCTCCTACCGCTGACGACAAGGCTCCTGGCGCCGAAGACAAGGTTTCTGGCGCTGAGGACAAGGTTCCTGGCGCTTAGGACAAGGCTCCTGGCGCTGAGGACAAGGTTCCTGGCGCTGAGGACAAGGTTCCTGGCGCTGAGGACAATGTGATTTGATCATAGTTTGGGAAATTTGGCGACGAACGGAACCAAAATCTCCTCAATTTCGGATACTGTTCAAAATATTTAGGGCTGCTCGGGCACGATCGTGGACCTGACGTAATCATTACATACTGAAAATACCGCTTTACCCTGGGTGGGACAGCATATCAACTCCGACGACAGTTTGTCGCTTGATGCTGTCCCACCCCACGTAAGGCCGTAAGGCGGTATTGTCAGTATGTGTTGATTACGTCACGTCCACGATCGTGCCCGAGCAGCCCTAAGGATTTTGAATAGTATCCGAAATTGAGGAGATTTTGCTTCCGTTCGTCGCCAAATTTGCCCAAACTATGATCAAACCATATTATTTAGAAAGAGAAATCTTTGTGAAAAGATGTAATCGGTCGTGCCGCCAATGATTAGCCTCTTACTGTTATATTATATACTAGTAATAATCTTAGATTAGTGAAGTGCGTTCGGTCACAGAGGTTCGGTGTAGAGTAGACGTTGTCCAAAATGTTATTATTGCATCATAGGGTAGTTATCAAAAGTGGGCCGGATGCCATCATTTGGAAACAACTGATTTTTTATTGCATCTACTTCTCTTTTACTGTTTTTCACAGGCTGGCAGGCACATAAAGCTATTCATTTCTGTTGTCACACTGTACATTAACTTTGTCTTCAATGTTATCACTGGAAGGGCCTACTGTAAATCAGGCGATATTATTTCATGTGTCCAAATATCATTTTCATACTCAACTGTCATGTCAGATGGAACACTACCAATAGGGAGTGATTCTACGGCATTGTTGATTAATAGTCACATTACTATAATGTAGATTATTTCTCAAAAGCCCTAGCATTTATATAGCATTAATGCATGTTGCACTTTTTCTTACTTCTGACCTTAATATCCTTAAATGTGTTATCTTTACCCTTTATCTTAACTATAATAATAGACCCTGGGATGACTTGGCAAAACTGATGCAAGCTCTTCAACATGTTGCTCAAGGCAAATTAATGCAATGCCCTGAATACCCCCATTTGCCTGTGTGGTTTATGATATAAACCCTAATTATAGGCGAGCTCGAGCAATGAGCATTTCTTCAGTTTGAGTTTATAGGCCTTGCAAGAATTTTGTGCCCCTGGTGTAAACTATAATGTTCCAGGTTGTGACATTTCTTGAACATAATTTTCCCATAAAACATTTTCAATTTATTATACAGTATAGTAGAGAGTAAGATACAAAAAAATACACAGTGAGATATTTCCCATATCTTCACTAAAGATATCGATCATGTGACTTTTAGTATTTATACATTTTTTTGCTTGGGACTAGTATATAATAAACAGAACATTACACGGTGGCTTGAAGATACGACTTTTATCTTCGCGTGTTAAAAACAATATTTTACTCACTCGCTGCACTCGTTCGTAACTCGTTCATAAAATATTGTTTTCACCACTCAAAGACAAAAGTCATATCTTCATGCCGCCGTGTAATATCCTCTATTTATAACTCAGGATTATGCATTAAATGTGTAATGCCTGCACTATGAATATCAAGATGGCAAATTAGGATTTTTATAAAGGCCATGTCCTGAGGATGCAAAAAAGCAGTCACCAGGTGAACTTTCACACTTATATGGCACTATATTCACTATAAGCGAACAAAACATTCCAAGGCAAGTTGCTGTTATTATTTGCTGAATACAATCGGGATGTCCCGGTTGCCGATATCTCACTTGAAAGAGGTGAGATCTCGCATACCGGGATGGAAATTTCTCCATATAACACTCACAAGCAGGCTAGCCCGGTTCCAGGGATGGAAATTCAAAGATACCGCCACAAGCTATTTGTAACAACTGTCAAAACAATAAATTGTTAACACAAGAGAAATTCATCCTGCTAACCAGGCTGTCTCACTAAGCGGGCCAACCTGGACAAGAGAAATTCATCCCGCTTACCAGGCTGTCTCACTAAGCGGGCCAGCCCAGCTTCCATATAAACACAAAGGTTCCAACCGACTAAAATATCAAAGCATCAGAAATTTCATTACCCTGCTGGCAAGAAATGTTCATGAAAAATACAGCTGAATTCGTCAGTAAAACTTCGCTCTGCTTGTCTATGAATATTATGACTACTGATTAGGTTCATTGTGTCAACAAAATAACTGGGATTTGTATATTTGTATGTCCACCTAGTATACTATAGCCAAACTGGGATTTGTGTATTTATTTGTCATGCTTAATTAAAACTCGTATTTTTCAACACATCTCTGCAAATTAAAATGCTTAACAACGTTTACTTCATCAACATTCAATGACCAAAGAGAATATACTGGACATGCATCCAAACACTTTATTAAGCAGAGCGAACTCAAGTTAAATCTGTGAACTCTAGCTGACAATTTAAAAAGATAGCAAATTGAAATGTCGGATTGCCAGTCGATAAAATACCACAAGACAAATTCTTGATGCCTTGATAAGTACCTTTGATGATAAGTGTAATAAAAATAACACAACACCACCGATTACCTTACATTAAACCGCAGGAAATACCCCAAAACAACAGCTAAAATCTCCTTCTGCCTTCGCAAAATATGGAAAGCACATGGAAACACAAAGACACCGCACGAAACCGGAAACCGAGGCAAATGCCATGAACACGAAAGCGAGGCAAATGTTACATCCAAAAATCTCAAAAGGACACAACATCCAGCCGTGACGTCACGATTAGGAAGCGTTCTCCTTCGTCGAACGCAATAATGAGCACACACAATGTAGGCCACAAAAAATGTTACATCAACGGCTCTAAATGAGCTCATGGATTAATTAAAAGAATGTCAAGGTTTATACTAAAAAGGTCAACTATATTTATTGTTAAAATGTATTTATTTGACTAATTTGAGAATGTTATTAGAATAGTTTTGGTTGACTATAAATTTGTTTATAAAACCGGTAAAGATCCGCAACACCTGATCATTCATTCTGAGATTGGGCCGCCTGTGGGTGGGCTTTGTGCAATACAAATGTGTTCTTTGCTTGAAAGTTCGGTCGAATAAAATTAATTTCTTGGACAGCAAGGATAACATACGTAAGGAGTTAGACGACCTTTCCTTCTCCATTTTACCTGCGAATAGCATTTGTAAAGCCTGTCTGGTGTTGGTAAATAAACGGAGAAGCGTCAAAGAACGGTTATGTGAACTAGACAATACGAACGAACGTGCACGAAACAGCATTAAACGCTATTGATATACCGCTTAAAGTAAGCGAAATTTCGTGAGGAAATTGGGATTCGAACCGACGTGCGATAAAACTTTTATGTTGACGAGCTCCAACAGCCAACAGGTTTGTATGAATGACAAGCGATTTTTAGTCCGTTCGGACATGTGTTTAATAGTTGGATATATATATATATATATATATATATATATATATATATATATATATATATATATATATATATATATATATATATATATATATATATATATATAGTCAGGGTATATTTTAACACGATTTGTTGTAAGTGCATTTTTAAATAAAAAATTTCTTGTCACTCGTACAAACCTGTTAGGCTATTGAAGCTTGTCAAGACATACAATTTCTGCAGTCGAAGACAAAGTCGATTTCACGCTTAATGTAGCCGGAGTAAAAGTTTTACCGCATGTCGGCTCGAATCCCAGTTTCCTCACGAAATTTCGCTTTATACTTTAAGTGGTATACCAATAGCGTTTAATATTGTTTCGTGCACGTTCGTTATCGTATTGTCTAGTTCACATAACCGTTCTTTGAAGCTTCTCCGTTTATTTATCAACGCCAGACAGGCTTTACAAGTGCTATTTGCAGGTAAAATTGAGAAGGACAGGTCGTCTAACTCCTTACATTTGTTCTGCTTGCAGTCCAAGAAATTAATATCGCTTTTATTCGACGGGACTTTGAAGCAAAGAATACATTTGTATTGCACAAAGCCCACCATGGTCTATGGAACATTTTAATATAAAGTTAATTTACCCAAAACGTAAAACGGATATGACGTAGGCCCGGCAAGCTTTTCTTCGTTTATTCGTAGACCCCTCCAAGCTGCACCATTTACTGTTCGGAGTACTCCGGATTTTCGGAACACTAATGGAATGGAACAGAAGAGAGTCACATGACTGTTCTGAACTGTTCTGACTACCCCGATGTTCGAGTGGGGGCAGCCAGAACAGGCACGTGACGCTGCCTTTTTTTACGAAATATTTTGTGTATCCAATGCACAATGTACAGAGCGTTATTTTGAAGGGTTGAAGGGCTAACCGCTATATTTCGACATATACTGATTATATGCTATTTGAACTCCAGGGTTGGGCAAAATCAACGAGTAAAAACGTTGCAAAAGCATACGTAGATGTACAAATAACAGAAAATGATTATGCGCTTTATTATTCGAATAACTAATTAATATAGTAATGCATGGTTGCATGCATGGTTGCATGCACTCAACACTGTTGCAGAACACCGTGGCACTCCATTTTATATCGTTCCAGCACAGTGTTCCAAATGTTCTAGAACAGTAAATGGAGCAGCCTGCTCACGAAACGTGTTTCTGCTGGGATCTACCCAGTAAGCTAGTACTGATTAAGCTAGGTCTAGAATGCAAGCCAAGCACGTCACGGTCACGGCTGCTACTAAAGGCGATACAACGATACAGGAACCTGGAACATGGAACAGAGCATAATTTATGTCTGTCATCTTGCGCGAGTACGGACATTATACTATTTCCTGACATGCCGCACTATATAGATGTTGCATTTCCGTAGC